TAAATTTAGAATGTTTCCTGTCTGGCTGGGCACAGTGGCTCATGCCTGTAATCCCAGCACTTTCAGAGGCTGAGGCGGGCGGATCACTTGAGGTCAGGAGTTTGAGACCAGCCTGGCCAACCTGATGAAACCCCATCTCTACTAAAAATACAAAAATTAGTCGGGGGTGGTGGCGGGCACCTGTAATCCCAGCTACTCGGGAGGCTGAGGCAGGAGAATGGCGTGAACCCGGGAGTGGTAGGCTGCAGTGACCTGAGATCACGCCACTGCACTCCAGCCTGGGTGACAGAGTGGGACTCTGTCTCAAAAACAAATAAACTAAATAAAATGAATAAAAAACTAAGTACATTTTTTTAGGAGATAAATGAGTGATATAGACTCAGTATGTCTCTACCTGATTAATTATAAATAGCATATAGAGTCTTAGTTATACAATCCTAGTTATATAAAAGCATTGACTAGACTTACAGACACTTTAAAAAACTGTGTACAGATATCCCTTTCAAACTTTCTTCTAAACTTGTTTTTTAAAAAAATTCCGTGACTAGAGAAATTGCTGAAGTCATTGCTTTTTTTTTTTTTTGCATAAACATAGAGTCCCTGGATGAAGTCATTCCTTTGACAATGACTTGATTAAACCCGTATCAGGCAGAAGATGAAAACCACCTAAGGATTAATTTGGATATTGTTCAAATTAATATTAATAAATGCTCCTCTTCCCAGAGAAATGTTAGCATGATTATGGCCTTTTATCTTTCCAAAAGCACTTGTCATTTAATTATTAGGGTGATTTTTCTGATTCTTTGTTAGATTCTTTGAGATAGCACAAATAGTGCTAAATTTTATTAAGACTATATTTCGATCAATCAAAACATCAAGTTCTCTGCTCTCGAGGAGTAACTTTTGACCCACAACACATCTGAATGTTTATTAATTATCTTTTAAAGCAATTTTAAGTAAATCAAAGCTGTATGCCAAGCAAAGTCCATGTTTTGTAACTTCCAGCTGTGAAGCCCCCACCATATAAAGTACATAGATTAAATGTTAATCACTTTAGCTCTAACTAATTAAATATTTAGTCCTTCAAAGACCTAGAAAAAGTGAAAAAGGTTGAACTTGATTTTTTTTTTCTAAAAGGCCTAAAAGACCCACTAGAAACAACTATTTTAAATCACATCTCTCCCCAAATGGTTAAAAATCCAACTATTAATCCAGTATTTTATCTTTGATACCTTCAAGGCATAAGACCATTTGGAAAAACATCATTGTCATAACCACGACCAACATTATTGCCATTATCATTGCTAATATTTATTAGAAGTTTACTCTGTACTGGGTTATACGCTTTACAAACAAGAGTTTTATTTGCTCCTTACAACAACCCTATGAGGTAGGTGCTGTTATTATCTCCATTCTGTCTAAAGCTTAATAAGGTTAACTTGACCAATGCTACATAACAAGTAGCTGCCAGGTTCCAGAATTGAAACCAGGCTAACTCAGTTTAAAGCCCTTGCCCTCAACCTTTATGTTCCCTAAGCCCACTTAATTCATTTAAATTTAGTATAAATTGACTTTAATTATGGTCTTTTTGTTGGGATCCATTATAGTCTCTTTTATCAACAAATGTTGGATAAAGTATGCATTTGAGGAGGCTGGGCGCGGTGGCTCACACTTGTAATCCCAGCACTTTGGGAGGCCCAGGCAGGCGGATCATGACGTCAGGAGTTCGAGACCAGCCTGGCCAACATGGTAAAATCCCGTCTCTACTAAAAATACAAAAATTATCTGGGCATGGTGGCAGGCACCTGTAATCCCAGCTACTTGGGATGCTGAGGCAGGAGAATCAATCGTTTGAACCCGGGAGGTGGAGGTTGCAGTGAGCCGAGATCACACCATTGCGTTCCAGCCTGGGCAACAGGGCAAGACTCCCTCTCAAAAAAAAAAAAAAAAAAAAGTATGCATTCAAGGAACAGGAAGACAAAGTATAATGGAAAAGTAAATTAACAAAAAGGATTTAAAAAAAAAAAAAAATCCCGATTGTCAGATTAGTAGGCAGTGAACCAATGCTCTGAGTTTGTTCATCAATCTGTGGTAGAACTACAATTGTTTCCTAAAGGGTGGAAAGGCTTTGAATAAAAGTGGAGAGGTAGAGAGGGCACTCCCAGGACAGGTTTATTGCTTCTGCAAAGGCAAAGGGTCTGTCAAGTGCTAGGTGAATGGGAACAAGTGGGAATAGTTCTGTCTGACTACATCTGAGGGTTTGAGAAAGGAAAGGGAGGGTAGTAGGGATGGAAGTGGGAATCACATACATTTAATGATGTCTTGTTCAGTGCCAAGGACAGTTTTAGACCCTGAAAAGCAGAAAGCTTTGAATACTCAGGAGTTGAATTTGGGTCATTTCATCTCCTCTCTTAGCTGCTGTATGACCCTGTGCCATCCTACTTATGTTTCATTTTCCTATCTGCAAAAAGGGAGTAATTCTGGTTCCCTTGGGTTTTCTCCTAGTCATAAAAAATGAATGAGTTCGGTCACAGTATACAAACAAAAGGAAAATATGTAATATTTCGTAGGATAAATTCAAAAAAGTTGTGGAGGATCTGGGCACTTTTATAAAGCAAGCACTGTAGAAAACTCTTAAAGGAAACATTTAAATTCACTAACGACGAGCTATAGGGATCCTAATTTTTCCTTTAAATGGCAGGCAGGCACTTGAAAAAATTAAAATATAATGTAGTTAGCTTTCAATTACTTAGGCCACTGACAATTCAATTTATGGATTATATAGTATTTTAATTTACTCATTTCACACGTCGTTATCAACTCTACATGAAGTTTAAAAGGACAAAGGATGCAAGTGGAGTTGGTCAGTGTTCCGGGTTATTTCCAAGGGAGGCAGAGGGTGGGGGGTTTCCTTTGAGACAAGACTTCGGGTTGGCCAATAATTGCTGGTATTGCCTTCCCGGTAATAACAGGCTGATGAAAAGGTGACTACAACGTGAAAACTGGTGAAGTCAAGCGCACTCTCCCACCCTCGTTTTAGATGAGGAATTTTCCGCCCTCACAGAAGGGGCTGAGGCAGCATCTGGCATCACAACACCAACATTTGCTTCGTGATTTCCTCTTTACCCGGCCCTTTGACACACATCCCTTCCCAGGAATCAGGATTCGCTGGTGCCTTTTTGCATTTCTAAAATGGGAATCCTGCGGCTGAGCTTTTAGCCGGCCGGAGCGACCGAGGGCTGCATCCCTTTCCCGCAGGAGCGGGGCTCCCGCCTCCAGTTCTGTTCCAGGCCTGACTCCTCCACTCCCTCCGTGACTCATGTCCTGCGGATCCTTCGCCCCCGACGCGCCCCCCAACACACAAACCCCCAGAATCCGCCCCCAGCCTGCAGCGCGACGTCAGCCCGCCCCAGCCGACTTGGAGGTCTCGGGTCTGAGTCACACAGAAAGACCACCCTCGTCGGCATCCCCACACACAGTCCCACACCCGGCGCGCCAGCCTCCCCGCCTGACACACCAACGCCCGTCGTCTCCGCGCAACTTGTTATGCTTCGGCTCGAGCCCTTGACCCAAAAACCTCCGCGAAACAGAGAGCCGCAGAGCCGGCCTCGGGCGGCCTTTGATGGCTTTGTTATTGTTTGGGTTTGAATCGATACGCCCCTCCCCATCCTTCCTCCCTCGCGGCCCTACACCCAGCTCCCGCCTCCCCTCACGCCCCGCGCCCCTCCCCCTCCATTTTGGCGCCTTTTCCTTCCCGCCACGTCGTGGCGGCGT